GTATGCTACCCTGCGGAACTCCCACGGAACAGGGCAGAGACCCAGACACAGAGCTTCCATGTTTCACAACCTGACACCTATCAGTCAAATAAGAGGAAAACATTTGTATTGCAGATGATGAAAGTTGAAAAGAAATCAACTTATTTAAGTTGACTTTTCTTATAATGATCAACTGTGTCAGACGCTTTACGAAAACCAATATATACAGCACCAGTTACTTGGCCTTTGTTCAAAGCAGCACGTATTTGTTCAGTGAATAAAATTAATGCAGACATGGTTGACCTTGACGTGCAGAAACCATGTTGGCTATTGCTTAGCATATTATTAGCTTGTAGACGCTGAAGTAGTTGATTAAATAATGTTTTTTCAAGTAACAGAAAAAATAGGAAGAACAGAAATTGGCCGATAGTTTGAAACTTCTGTTGGATCACCAGATTTAAAAATGGGAGTAATCTGAGCAAACTTCCAGGCATCAGGGAAAATAGACTGCACAATACATAAATTAAGCAAATGATGAAACAATGGTAAAAAGGTGTTGGCATGCATTTTCAAGAAATCCATATTTATCTTATACAGAATTTGGCAAATGCATGTGAGCCATTTAGAGATTGGAGTGTATTCAAAACATCACTCTGTGAAATTTCAGAAAATGAAAATTGCTTTGAAGTGTCAGGATATTTAAATAACTTTAAACGATTAGTTTGTCCCGGTAATGATGTCCTTAATGAAGAAATAAAATATTCATTAAATAAGTTAGCAATTTTTTCATAATCTGAAACAAGAAGTCCATTTACTGAGATTTGTGAATTGTTGTTAAATGATACTACTGTAGTGTATAAATTTTAAACTGTATGTTCAAAAATGGTTACTCCACAACAAATTAATCTGAAAATGACCAAAATATAGCCTTTTAAAGTTAGCTGTGGTGGTCATCTTGAATTTTTATCACTTAGAATTTGGTGAAAAAGAAAAAAAAAAAGCAAAATCATCTACTTCTAAACTAATCTTCAGCTTTGGATTTTTAAAAATGTCTAAATACTAAATTGTGACTAGCTTTCAGCATGTTGTTTTTTATCATTCTTAGCTTTGATCACACAAAATTTCAGCTCAGTATTTTTGTAAAAGAGCTGAATTAAAGCCATTGTGTGTGGTGGCCATGTTGATTTTTTTAAAATCCAGCGTGCATTTCTCTAATTGTATGTGCCCCACTAAAAACAACTTGGTCCACTTGTTCCATTCCTTACAAAACGGTCTTTCCTTGCCACCTACACATGGCATGTTGATTAACATATATAGGTTTTACTTCTGAAACACCAACCCAGATACACCAATAACCCATACCTAATGTAGTATTTGCTGTAAATATGAGTGGTTGGTGAAGGAAGATTTGTTTAAAAGGGTTGCAGTGCAGACAACACTGGCTGCAGATTCTAATCCAAAGCCTTCAGCAATCTCTTCATAAACTCCATTTCAGGTCTGCAAACAAATTAGCTTTTTTTCCCCTCCCCTCCTTCTCTTCTGTTGTGCTCTCCCTCCAGTGAAAATAAGGGAGTTGGGGAATTCAGGTGACTAAAATCTATTTGTTCAGTTAACTTTTTTCTTCCCGTCAGCTTCTTTTCTCTCTCTCTCTCTCTCTCTCTCTCTCTCTCTCTCTC